GATGTTGGATAACCATTTGTCTGAAGTGGTGTAGGGTTTTCTGCCTAGGCAGGGGGTTGGACTAGAAGACCTCCAAGGTCCCTTCCAACTCTGTTCGATTGTCTACTCAAGCCAATTAGAATGTGCCATGGCTAATGGTCCTGTATACATCGAAAGGAACACAGATAAACATTAGGGAAAACAACTATTGCAATCAAATCAGCTTGGTTGATGCTTTTCTTTAAAAACAAATCTTTGCTAGCTTTGTTCTTTCTTTTAGGAATCTTGATTTATTCTTCTATGTCACTTCTCCATGTGCTAATTACACTTTGTTAGTTTTTGTAAGCCTTATACTACAGAGTCTAAATTTCTGGGTATTAAATTAGCTAATCAAAGGTTTGGTCATTACTATCCAATCTATCACCATAACATACTGACCACAACAGCAGAAATACGTGTTTTAAACTTCCCTTTTAAGCTTTAATATGGACGCTTACTTCTTCCATTACAGATAAAACAATATTGTAAAATGTTGACCTCCTAAAATGTAATTTTAAAAAGCTACCAAATTCTATCCTCGCTCACAAATATACATGTACTCTCAATATGTCAAAAGCCTTGGAGGTAAACGCTTCTATTTCCTCTGAGGAGAAATAGCTCGTGCTGCAAAATGACTTCTCTAACCGCTAGTCAGATTTGCATTGGCAGCGTGCATAATTTGAAAGTCAGTGATGTACAAGATATACTTTTTAAGTTTTGGTTTATTAAAAAGTATTGACAGAACCTCGAATTTCCACTTCAGCATATATATTTCTCTGTTGCTCAGTTCTAAGTTGTCTTAGCTCTCTTTGACCTCTGTGCAGCTAAGCTTCTAGAAGTGACGTGAGTGGGTCAGAGAGCCATGCCACAAAGTGTGTTCATCTTTCCCTTCAAAGACTCCAAAGGACATTGAAAACCACACAGCGAAATGTTAAGATTTTTTTTAAATCTCGCTCTTTACGCTGATACCTAAGGACGGATTTGTACTCTCTGCTTGGCCCAGCACCACCGCAGGCCACTCACCACTTCCTGTGTGCTATTCCCTTACTGCAAAGAAAACAGTTTAATGGATATGTATCAGAGGTGGGTTCCTACCAGTTCGGTAGAACCGGTTCGTCAAATCTACCGAACTGGTTAGAAGAGGTTCCACCAGAAAGCAGGCCACACCTACAGAAGAGGTTCCAAAAAATTTGGAAACCCACCACTGACAGACACACACTCACAGACAGACTCACACAGAGAGAGAAAGAGAAAGAAAGGAAGAAAGGAAGAAAGAAAAAAGAAAGAAAGAAAGAAAAAGTGAGAGAGAAATGAAAGAAAAAAAGGAAAAAGGGACAAAGAGACAAAAGGAAGGAAAGAGAGAGAGAGAGAGAGAGAAAGCACGAGATCACATGGCCGGCAAGCCACTCCCACCGGGGAGGCCACACCCACAGAGTAGGTTCGGAAAAAAATTGAAACCCACCACTGATGTGTATTTATGCATAACCATCCAGTTGTGCATAAATCTCATATGTAAAATACAGCTGAGGGAAACCCGATCAATCTGAAGGTTAATGGAAGCTAAAGGAGAAGGCTGCCCAAAAAATTGCTTTTCAGGAGTTATTTTGTTTTGTGTTTCAAAAACGTTTCCTAGTGGTACTGGTGGACAGTTCTCTTCAGTTAAATGTCTATGGAGATTCTCAGTCATCCAGGTCATGGTTGTCCCAAAGGTGCTTTTTCAAGAGGCAACTGGACTTTCTGGTTTTTCCTTGAAGAAGTTTCATTTCCCATCCAAGAAGCTTCTTCAGCACAGAGCTGAAGAAGCTTCTTGGATGAGAAGCGAAACATCTTCAAAAAGAAAAACCAGAAAGTCCCATTGCCTCTTGAAAAAGCACCTTTGGGACTTTAATTAATAACGTAAAGAGGTTTCTGGTCAAGAACATGGCAGGGAAGAGAACTTAACCCCCTTTTCTCCTGTGGTCCAACTCTAATAGATGCTTGGCTCATTTTTTTTCCATCTCCACTTACTATTTATATAATAAAAATATGCATATTTGTTGCTTTCAGGGAATGAACAACTTATTTAGTTTGACATGAAATCTGTTTTTAATTGTAGTTGAACTTTCATGATCTCTCAATTTAAGCTCTTTTCTCGTAAAAAGTTGACTTACAGATTAGAATGTAACACAGGCTGAAATCACAAGCATAAAATGGAACTTCTCCATAAAAATGCAAGGGAAAACTCAAGAAATGGCAAGTTGGCAATGCAAGTAAATACCAATGGATTGAATTCTACATGCTAAAGAGCAGAAACTGCACCCCAAAAGTCAGAGAGAAAGCATATTTAAGGAGAGTAGGCAATATTCTTCTTTACCACGTAGGATTCCAGCGAACTAACTTGTGAATTATTGAAAAATTGCCTACATATCCCAAATGAAATATTGCTGTGCTACTTTTAGGCTCCAAAGAAAACTACAATCTAGCATAGTCTATTTGCCATCATAACCTGATAAAGCTCAACTTAGAAGTAAGTCCATTGAGTTCGGTGGGGCTGATTCTTAAATAATATAGAAAATCAGCTTTAATTCTACGTTGGATTGCAGCCTATAGATTATTGTTGTTGTTGTTAAGTGGCATTCAGCTTAAATGAATTACATATGGTTTTAAGATTTGATAAACAGAAAAGTCAACCTGTTTCATTTAACTACTGACCTGCTATAATAGCCCTCTCTCTTTTTTTGTAGTTATCTAATTAGACTTACACAACGTTGGTGCTTTTAAAGACTTCAGTGAGACTGCTCTTACTTTATAATCCACATTAGGAAACATTAATTCCATAAGCTGCCTAAAATGCAAGCACACAGAAATACCCTCTGCTTCTCTCACTGAAGCTTAGAAATACTGCTTCAACAAAGCAAAATCAACTCATCCTTTGTCTCTTCTGTGATTTCTCTGAGATAATTTTGAACTGGAGACACCACTGCTACTTGAACAAGTTTGGCTGTTTTGTTTTACATAGCATCTTCTGATTTCAGATTTGAACCTTCATTTATGGCACAAATTTGCTTTGCTGATTGCAACGGGGCAGGCAATGGGCCCTAACCAACGAAATGAATTTTAATCTGGAGAAAAGCAAAATTGTACACTTAGGCAGAAAAAAAATCAAAGATATAAGTACAAATTAGGTGAGACCTGGCTCAAAAACAGTCACTGTGAGAGGGACCTTGGATAATCAATTCGAGGTTCATTTTATTTAATAAAATGATTGAATAGGAGCCAGCAGTGTATAGTAGCTAATATAATCCTGGATTGTATAAACAGAGGCATAGAATCAAGATCACAAGAAGTGTTAATACCACTTTATAAAACCTAGTAAGAAACACTCCTGGAATACTGCAACCAATTTTGGTCGCCACGATGTAGAAAAGATGTGGAGACTCTAGAAAGAGTGCAGAGAAGAGCAACAAAGATGATCAAAGGCCGGGAGACTTAAAACATATGAAGAACAGCTGCAGGATCTGGGTTTGGCTAGCAGTATGCCAGTATTTGAGGGGCTAGCACAAAGAAGAGGGGGTCAACTTATTCCCCAAAACACCAGAGGGCAGGACAAAAAACAATGGATGGAAACTAATCAAAGAGAGAAACAACCTGGAATTAAGGAGAAACTTCCTAACAATGACGACAATTAACCATTGGAACAGTTTGCCACCAGAAATCATGGGCACCCCATCACTGGAGGTTTTTAAGAAGAGACTGGACAGTCACCTGTCTGAAATGGTATAGGTCCGTGATGGCGCAGGTGGCACACGGAGCTATTTCTTAGGGCACACGAGATGTTGCCCTGTCAGCTTCAGCGTGCATGCGCATGCTG